TGTCTCTCTCTCTCTCTCTCTCTCTCTCTCTCTCTCTCTCTCTCTCTCTCTCTCTTCTCTCTCTCTCTTTCTCTCTCTCTTTCTCTGTCATATGAGAAGAAAAAAATAAAAGAATGATTAAAAAACCAGAAAGTTAGATATATATTTCCTTATATATATAATTTTTAATGTATCTATTATTTCGTTGATTACCAAGGTAAATTTTTAATATTTGCCTTGGCGTTCTTGAACGAACTCGCAAAAAAGCAACATAAAGTTGTCCATGGTTAAAAACATCTTTACAAAGATCTAACCAATTCTATCAAACGTTTGCCCTTGTGATTTATTAATTGTCATAGCAAAAGCTAATTTTATCGGAAATTGTCTTCTGGAAAAAGTAAAAGGATATATATTTTCGCAATATAATGTTATACGATTCAAAAAACAATATCTTCTGCTTTGTCATCTGTTAAAATCTTACACTTCAATAAATGATCTGCAAGCTCTATAACTATTAATCTAGTACCATTGCAAAGACCTTCATTGATATTAAGATTTCTAATCAACATAATGATACAATTTGGTCTTAAACGTAATTCATGAGGAGGAAGAGATGGTGGAGATAAACTTTTTACATATTCTGATAATAAAGCTTCATCAATGTCACCATTGTCACCATTTATTGCACTGTCTACACTTGTATAAATTCGTTCATTAGCTATATCTAATAATTCAACAACTTTTTTATTGATTTCTTTAACATCAACATTTCTTGCAGAAAGTGCCGCACATTTAGCTGCTTTAATAAACTCTTTTCTTTGTATTAAATCGTATATATTTTCCATGATATCAGCATTAATAGGCGCTACATAACATTAAGGAATTTATATATTATCATTTAAATCATTTAAATATACCATCTCCCATATCCAATATAAACTTTGCAAATTCAATTTCTTTTAGGAGAACTCGCATATTTTGTGTTAAAAAGAATTTTACGAAATGTTTCCAAGTAGAACTAAATTTAATAGAAAGATTTACAATTTCACTTCGAGTAGCATGTATTTTAATAGGCAAAAGTTGTTTGAAATCACCATCTAATAAAACAATTTTTCCGCCAAAAGGGAAATCATAATCATATTCATAATATCACGCAATGTTCTATTCATAATCTCTAAAGCATATCGTGGTGCCATTGGTGCTTTATTCCAAATATAAATATCAAATTCCTTCAAATTTTGAGCTTCTTTTGATTGGATTTTAATAGCAGATGATGAATCAGCAAATAATGAACTGATCGAAATGTCTTATGAACTGTTTTTCCAGTAGGTAGTAATGTCGCTGCAATGCCCGTAAAAGCCATTGTACACAGGCGTTTATTTCTAATTCTAGCTAAATGATAGTTGTATATATAAATGTTTTACTTGATCCACCAAGGCCATCAATATAAAAACAATAATTATTATGATTATTATTATTGTCTAATCTATTTAATAAAAGATCGATTATCTCTTTTGTCATTTAATTGTTTGTATTGTTTGGTGCCTATTTCCATAGCTTCTTCAAGTGTCATGTAATCCTTCTCTCCGTTATTTTCTATTAACTGTTCCATTTATGGATAATCAGCAAAATTTTTATCTTCAGCACGAAACATACTATTAATTT